AGAGAGAGAGAGAGAGAGAGAGAGAGAGAGAGAGAGAGAGAGAGAGAGTGATAAAGAGAGAGCGAGAAAGAGATGGAAGGCATGAGAATGAGACAGAGGCGGGATAAAAAAAAAAAGAGCGCAACAGAGCGCGGGTGAGAAAGGCACTAGCAGACAGTTGCTCCTCGATCGTCACATCTGCGAGTCATTGATTGCTCCCTCGCCGGTTGATCAGTGACTCTAAACCAGGCGACTTGAATTTTAACGGGGCCCGCCGCTTCCGCGCATGGCGACAAGCCAGGCAGCGTAATGAAAACGCAATTAAGGCCGCTGCGACTATGATTGCGGGCGGGCAAAACATGCCGTAACCGAATTAGGACAGCGCTAACGGCAAGCCCGATGCGAAAAACATCTTGATTGAAGTGCATGCTACTCGAATCGCGCTCAAAAAACCTGTCATCATGGCGCCATGCGTGGGCGTGCAGGAGGGAGGGAATGAATCGCTTGCAGCGCCCCCTAGGCCGGAGCGGCGGTGAGATGCGAGCGGAAATCACGTGGTCGCGACGGTCGTTGATCATAAATATGGCGATATAATCATCGAGGGAAACGCCAGCGTTGCTCGTCGGTTCGCGGGCAATTACTATACTTCCGTGTCTTACTCGACCATAACGAAGGTCTCAGGTGATTCGACTAGGTGATCATGCTGCGACTTTACCTCCCCCCCCCACCATACGATTAGCATTTAAACGCATATCATCTCACAGATAGTTTAGCTAACTAATACACTCGTACACATCGTACACGACTGCGAATTTTAGCGCGCGTCAGACGCGCGCTAACTAGGAGCGTACAGACTGCATATTTGACCCTACTTTAAATGAGTCATCAGTTCTCCCACCGTTCAGTTCCCTGCTCGCCATGTCACCCCGCAGACAGCGAGGTACAGCGAGCGTACAATTACGTGCTATAAATAAGGCTATGCGCATGCGCATTGCGAAACTTAGCGTGCGCTAGACACCGGATTGCGTACAGACACAGCTAACTTGGTCCGGACTAAGTTAGCCCTGCTTCACTTGCGGGTGTAACTTGGAGCGGGCCAGCGCGTATGCTCATAGTCTCCATAGGTATCCGACAATACACACGTTCGCGTACGATTTCTGTGGTTTCCTTGGAGAACGCCGATTTCACAGCGTGCGCGACAGAATTCCGTAATTCGAGTAATTTTCTCGCGGCAGGGTAACGCGAAACCATCGTAAACCCAGCTGTAATCATCGCTAATAATCGTAAAATCTATCGTAAAATCTCAGGCCGGCGGTTTTCGTGACAGCGTACGCACATTACCGCATTTACCATTACAATACGCAGCACTATATAAGAGAGGGAGAGAATCACTCAAACTCTACATTCTTAATGATTAAGAAAGATTAGAAGTGATAGTATATACGACAGTGAAGAATTAGCAGCAGTGTTGGAAAGATCTGTTGATGTGTTTCTATGTCTTGGGACCTGTTTCTATGCCTCCACCCAATACTCGCGACCTTATCTCATGCTTACCTGCTTACCATCTTCCAAGTAGAAATCAGATCTGATAAAATCCGGAGTGTCCTAATATCTGCATCAGGTTGAAATATTTACATTTCGAACCTCGCCCTGGTCACAGCCAATGCACGGACTTGATCTCTGTGTGCGTCATTTCTATAGAGAGAGGACATCTCACTTCTAACATTACTAGTGGGCAACCAGTCCATGTAAAGGTCAGAGCAAGGCAACACTGCTTCTGTTATTTCTCTGGGCAAGGCAAGATACTCTCACTGCATCACAGCACGATGATAACCTCATGATAGCAGAAATAATGTTTTTTGCTAACGTCTAATTGCACTTGAGAACACGATATTTCAGTGCCATAGCAGAAACCATACACTCTATAATGGTGGAAGATTAGGCACGATGTTAAACGACACCAGCACCTGTGCCATAAATGTACTAGCAGTAAGTAATTTAATGCAATTATTATACTTTCAGGTTAAAATGTGAGAATAAGATAACACTCAGCATCATTCAGTATTTCTTGTACAGTTATTACCTTACACG